GAGCCCCCGCCGCGGCCGCTCCCCCTTTTGTGTGGGCGCCCCTCGCCGCGCTGCCCGGGCCTGGGGGCGCTGGCTGGTGGGGGGGCGCCTGCCGGGGGGCAGAGCTCCTTCTAGGAGGAGGGGAGGCTGGCTTCCTGTCCCCGCCGATGTCACAGGTCGGCTCAGCCCTTTCTGGTCCCACCCGGTCCCCTGGGAGCTGCATCTCCCGGTGGCTCGCTAGGGAAAGTTCAGAACGCGCTGTCCCCGCCCCTGCTCCCCCGCCCCTCCGGCTCGGTGTGCCCCGGGCTCCAAGCTCCAGGGGGTTGGTGTTGGCGTTTATTCATTCTTTCCACTTCAGTTTCTCCTTGCATTGTTGCCTTGCACCCAGCACGGGCTTGGCCATTTCTTTTCCCCTTAAAAGAAGTTTGGGCTGCAGGAAATTTATGCTGAAAATAAATTGCCGGAGAGGAATTTGTTTTAGGGGGAAGGAGGTTTGGGATTTGCCTTTATTATTTATTTCATTATTTTCATTTTTATTATTTTGGTTTTGGTGAGAGTGGAGGGTGAGGGGAATGACTGGGAGTTTAGAAATAAGATGTCCTAGAGGTGGTACTGGATGCAAGGAGACCATCTCGCTCCCCACCTGGCCCCGGGGCCGCAGTGCCACTGAGCGTGGGGAATAACCCTGTTGGTTATCCTGCGCATCCTGAGCCACCTGGTCCAGGAGAAAGGACTCAGGGAGATGTTCAGGGCCTCTCATCCCTTTTCTTTGGCAAGCATGCTTATCTTTACAGCCTGGGTGGGGGTAGCCATGTATGCCTGAAAGGAGGAGAGGGACACCGGACTTCTCTCGTGGAGGAAGTCATCTTACCATGAGATTTGGCCCCCTTGTGGGATCAAGTGTGAAACTGGGCCCTCTCTCTTGTTGAGGGTCGATGTCGTTGGGACCTCTATTTTGAATGGAGGGTGGCCTCTCTGGAATGGAGAGAGAAACCTGGCTCAAGTCACCAGGAGGCTGAAGGTGTGCACAGGAGGGTTGGGTCGGAAACACTCCTGTCCCCTTTCTGCAGCTGGAAGGAGCAGGCGACAAGGGAACAGGAGTGGTGCCTCAGGCCTGGGCACATCCTTAAACAGGAGAGAGACCTTGGTCAACTAGGATGGCCGAGGAGTGATAATATGACGAGGGGGGGACCTTGGGGCCAGAGGCTGGGGTCACGGGCCCCTTTGGGAATCTGGTGAAAGCTCCAACTCCTCCTGCCTCAAGCATGCGTGTGTGCAGGGACACGTTTTGTAGGCACTCTCAGAATGTTACCATACCCTTTGGAACTGGAACCCCTTTTAAGATCCCCTGATCTTCAGTCCGGTGCCGCATAGGCCATTCAGAGCAGTTCCCTCCTTTGTAGCCGGTCAGTGAAGAATCCCAGGGTGTGAAGAGTAGACCTCCCAAGAGGTCTTTTCTCATGACCTTCTCACGCAACTTTGGGCTTGTGGCCATAGAGACCTGGGACCTCTGGACCAGCTCCCAGCTCCCTACAGTTAGTCAGAGGATGGGCGCGGATGTATGGGGTGGAGGGCATCTCCAGGGGCTGATTTTGCTGTCTGTGTGGTGGGAAGGCTCTGGACCCTGGGCCGGGGCCACAGTGCTATTGAATTAGAGGCAAATACCAGGGTTGGAGTATGGGATGGATATTCTGGTGTTTCTACTGGGTATAGGAGCCAGGTGCTTTAAGAGCCCCAGCTTATTCTTGGGGGAGTGGGGGTGAGGTGGGAGAAGGAGCTGCAGTGGGGGGTGTAAGTGTGGAAACACTCCTCCTCTTGAGGAGGTTTTGGGGCAGAATTGTCCAAGGCCAGGATCTAGGTACTGTAGGTTCCTTAGATCCCTCTGGACTTAAAAAGGCAAGTGGGGGCTAGAGGAGAGGGTTGTCACCAGGCCCAGGGCACCCCCAGGAGGCGTGGCCTGCCTTGTCTTTCTTAGCCAGAGCTCCCTAGTTTGGCTGCTCAGGTGTTTGTGGCATCTACGCTTGCTGGGGATCTGGGAGAGCCTTTAGTAGGGCCGGCCATCTCTGACTTCTCTGCTTTGGTGTTGGGAAGCCCTTCGTAGACTCAGGTGCCCCCAGACAGAGGTTACTCATGGGGGCTTTGCTTTGTTTAACTCTCCTGCACAGTGTTTGGTATATAGTAGCGCTCACACTTGTGTCCTCCTTGAGAGCTTCCCACCTTTCCTCTGCCTTTCCCCCATCCTAGCGGTAAGCGACAAAAGCCTTGGGGGCAGGAAGCTGGGAGTCAGACAGGGATCACCCCTGACTATGCAAGATGGCCTGGAGGAGGCTAGGCCTCCATTTTGTAGGCTCGTGTGCCTACTGGAAGTAAGAGCCACAGAGGGCCTTGGAGAGGCGGTGGTCCAAGTCCCTGAACTTGGGACTTGGAGGTTGTCTTGGTGAGATGTAAGGGTCCTGTGGCCATGACTAAAACCTCACGTTCCTCAGTGGCCAGGACTTGCCTGTCCGCTGCTGCCGTGGACAGCACCTGTTGGTGAAGTTAGGGTGCTGGCTGTGGTGGGTCACTCCTCCCGGGGAGCACCTCCTGTGGGTCAGAGCCGCGTAACGCGCTCCTAATCATGCGGCTATGACTCTTATTTTTTAAAACCGGTCATAAATGAGAAATGCTAGAACAGTGCCTGTAAACATAAGCTCCCTTGTAAAATGTGACCTTTTCATTTCTGTGATGGTGGCACCCAGTGTCTTTGAGGACTGATGGGTGGGAGAAAAAAGTTCCAGCTCCCTCTAACCTCCTCCCCCCAGGAGGTAATGGGGCCCCTCTGTGCCCTTCCCTGTCGAAGCTCAGCGTTCAGAGTGTCGGATCTGAAGTGAGAGGCCCAGCCCTTCATCTTCCATTCTGCTTTTGTAAATGCTTCAGTCTCTCAGCTTTAGAAAGTGTGGAAGGAGATCTAACACGTATACCAGACAAAGAGTGTGGTGTAATTCTTTAGTGGAGAAGCGATCATCAATTATTATTATTATTATTTCCGCACATGGGTGCTAGTGTTCTGAGGCTTCTTACTGTTAAGGAAGATCTTTGGTAAAGACTGTAGTGGCGGAGGCTGGCTTTAGAAGGGGTCAGATGGAGTGGGGTGAGGTTTTTGAATTATGAGCAAAGGGGACTGCACGGTGGGGAGACGGGGAGCCTGAAATGTCAAGGGTGACAAGAGAGAAGCATAGTTGGGTGTCGAATGACTCAGCATCCGTAGCCCTGCTGTGGAACCAGCTCATCCCCCTTCTCTTTGGAGACTCTGCCCCGTAAGCTGGTGGGGGTCAGGGAGCGGGGGAAGGATCACAATAAGTTAGGAGAGTTGCATCGCTTTTATGTTGATGCTAACCTTGGTCCTGGAGGAACAGGGCAAAGAGGGCCTGGAGGAAGGGCGTCTAGTGGGGATGGGAACGGGCCGGAGATGCAGTCAAGAGTGGAAGCTGCAGGGTGGAGGGAGGTTCTGGGAAGGAAAAGATTTGGGGAATGGTCATTCCAACACTCACTGAGTGCTGGCGATAGATCAGCCCGTTTCAAGTGCTTCTCATGGATCAGCTCGTTTCATTCTCACAAGACTCT